GCCTTGTTTCCCTGGTTTCTCCGCTGGTTATATTTTGGAGTCGAGTTGCTTTACGATATGCCAGTTTACCTTCCGATTTTAAATAAGTGTATATTCTATCTCTTTTCCTCCCTCTCTCCTCTCCCTCTCCATCAATGCATGAGTGGATGCATGATTATGTGTGTCACAATGTGTTGATAAGTGCAAGTGCGGTACGGATAGAGTCCCCATAGCCCTTGTGTCATCAAGATTTCGCTAGACGATGATCGTTGAAGCGCAAGGACCAGTGTCGGTCCCTTAATTAAGATGTATGCATGTTTCTCTCCTTGTGGAAATAATGTGTTAATGATGGATGTATGCGGCTTCGCTTGATTTTTCCTTTGTTAAGGATTTCATTGGAGGTGTTCTCCGGGTTTCCCATCGACCCAACCGGCTCATTTCTCGAAACAATCTTCCCTTCGAAGGGAGAAGTGTAGTGAGAAACTTCACCGTGTTCCTATCGACGGTGAACGCACAACTCTCCTGACCTTTGATCTTGTATCAGATGAACGTTTTGAATCTCTTATAGATGTCCTATACGTGAAGATCTTTGTTTTTCTTGTCGCTCCTAAGGGAATGTATCAACCCATAAATTTTATGGACAATATTCGGGATATATTTTTGTCTTCACCCCTTCTTTGAAGTTCTTTTGATGTACCTGTAATTGAATGCTCAGAAGAACTTCTTACAGAATTCTTCCATTAGTTTCCTTAGTAATTTCTCACCACAGTGGAATATCGAATGTGAAAGTTACATTGTGCAATCTGATTTCTGACACTGAGGCAATCCCCGGAACTAATGGGACTTGCTCGTTTGTTTTGTGAGCAGTAGATGCACATGTGTTGGCCATGTGGACAGAGCCAGCAGAGCCATCTGGGTATCAACTTCTCGAACCTCCCCGCCCACAACCTTTCCCGCACAACGAGGATAGGACACATGAGTGTGAATGGGATCTAGGAGAAGTTGTCGCTAAGATAGGCGACCCTTATCACTTCCCTTTCGAAACATGGTGTTCAGGGTTCATTAATGCGGGTTTTGTGATTGTTGACACCCACTTCCCTCCTTATACCGTTTTGCTCTGTTCAACGAGTTGACCGTTGTCTCATGGCCGACGGTTGCGCCCCATTGGCCTCGCACTTTGTGCAGCGATTGTTGCCACACAGAGTGCTTTCAAGCCCAAGGGTTCAACCATCGGACATGTGGCGAGGAGGAGTTAAAACAGAAAGCAGTGGGATTGTGGCCCTCTAACTCGGATTCAGAACTGTGCAACAAACGACGTCGGTCCGTTGTTCAAAACCGAGATCCGACGTGTGTTCCCCATCCCTTTCGACCCAAAAGGAGACGCCGCGCTGCTCGCGTCGAAGTTCAAAGATATTTTTTGGATTAGGTAGGTGCTAGTACCCTTCCCCATCCCCTTCCCGACTTTTGTTCATTGCTCCATATCTGGGACCACACGAGAGATTTCAGCTATGTCTGCCTCCACACTCAATTTCCCAAAAATCCTTGGCACACCCCATTTTACCGCTTTCCGGGCCCCTTTTTGTGCTTTAGTCACTCCGAGAAGGAAAGAAGAGCATGGTGTGAGGTTGAGCGTCACACTCCGCAAGCCCTCCATCCCGGTGGTTCTCTTACCACCATGCGGATGGAGGGCTAACTCAGCGGGGCTCAGGGGGGTCTAGTACATGCTTAAGTAAGAACTGGTAGGACCAGAGCTGGGTAGGGATATAAGTCGCTCCGGCTTGTCCAGGATCCGCCTAGCTGTGGGTAAGCTAGGACAGTCGGGACTTGTCCGTGGGGGCTAGCCTGCCTAGCCTTGGTGGCTAGACCTGCTACTCGGTCCCGGCAGAGCCTCTGACTATAGGGAGCTAGTAGAAGAATGCTTGAGCCTGGCGGCGGAAGTTTCCGCACGACAAGGCTTGTCTGATTCCGCTTCAACCTTGCTGGGTAGGGATATAAGTCGCTACGGCTCGTCCAGGATCCGCCTAGCCTTGGGTAAGCTAGGACAGTCCGGACTTGTCCGTGGGCGCTAGCCTGCCCAGCCTTGGTGTCTATACCTGCTATTCGGTCCAGGTCACCCTCCAAAGTGGTAGGACGATAGTACTGAGTGATTTACACTGAGGTAGGATAGTGGGGATAGGGGGTGTGCTAGGAGTATTGATTGATGAGAGGAAAGTCCGGGAGGGCACCTCACAATTGTGAGGATAACCAATGGCTGACTGATGACTGCAACCATCGTCTGTCTGGAATCTGGCCTCTACCACAACCTGGGCTTTTTTCTTTATAAACAAAAATGAAACGGTTTTCACCTTTTAGCAGTAGCGGATGCAGTACCCAGGGTTCGATCCCTAGACCTCACCCTACCCATGTACAGTATCTGTGTAGACCCCGAGAATTGAACCTGTGACCTGTGTATTCGTAGGCAGTCGGTAGACCTGTCGTAGGTCCATAGACAGCAGGGGTTCGATCTGTAGGTCTATAGCGTAGGAGTCTTAGTGAGTTCTGGAAGCTTAGCTGTAGACCTTCTAGAAGGTAGGCAAGTGGGCAAGTGGGCAAGTGGTGAGGCAAGTGGTGGACTAAACCGCAGTGCAACAGCAGTGCAACGGCGGTAGGATAGCGGTGAGTCCACAGTCAGTCAACGGAAGGTCCAGTCAGTCCCAGTCCGGTCCAGCAAGTACCACAGGGGGACTGTAAGCACCAAGGGCCGATGGCAAAGGGCAGACCAACGAGTTTCTGAAGTATAAATCAAGAGGCAGCGCCCAGCCATTGATTGATTCCTGCGTGAGCCATGCGGAAGCGCTGCCAAAGCGACTCGTGCAAGGAGGTCTGCAGATGAGCCCGGAGGACGCAGTGGGCAAGAGAGGAGTTAGCATAGCGATAGGTTAGAGGCAGCCATAGCTGCCATATCTGTAGTTAGTATGTGTGTGCTCGAGTGTTAGAGTGATGCGTGTGGGATATCCAGGGTGATCCAGTGTATGTGAACAGTGAGATGTTTGGGCGCTGAAGTCGCCATAGCCAATTGAGAGTGAACTCGTATCTGAAAGCCATATCTCTGAGTTTTGAGTGGGC